CATCGATAAGGAATGCCAATCCCACCAAGGCGCACGTGACCTAAAATTGAGGGCTATGTAGGTAAGACCTTATAGTGAAATAGCCCACGTCTGTAGTGGTGCTGGCAGGAGCGAATGGACACGATGCTGTTGATGAGTGGAGATCTCAGTTGACAAGTACATTTCGTAGTATTGAAGCGGTAAAAGCAGCATCTATCAACCCACCGCGCCGCGACCGCTCGCGCCGTAAGCCTGCATTACTGCTCAATCTACATGAGCTACATAAAAGTGTACATACAGTTCCAAGCCACCAAGCTGTATATTGCCATCGGAGACTGCTGTAGATCATGGTGATACTATTGATCAGAAAAAGAAATGCAAACGAGCCGGAATAGATGGTTTCCTAGAAAGTTGTTCTTTCTGACGGATTGAGAGACGAGACCGCCTTACAACAAATCCCAAGCAGGACTTACCCAAAAGATCCAATCTACATTTGTAGTGATCGAATGCAAATTAAATGCGAATATGAGAAGTAATGTTGGGCCAATAATAGCGGCCATAGTTGACGTAACCAGTGCTGCATATGTCGGTGAAAAATGTGACCCAACACTGCCAACGAGGAACAGAGCACATACAGAACCTATCTGTAAAAAAACATTCGGCAAGTGGATGATGCCTACTAAAAACAGTAACATACAACCCTGACCAAGCCTTTCCTCCCCATTCAATAATAGTTGACACAGATATGTTGTGATATTGGTTGGAGGAGATTGTCGTGTCCGTTGGTGGATCGGTTTTTCGGTAAGCTGACCCCTATCATGGATTAGATCGTGAGAGAACAGCTCCCAAAGAGATTGGTCAGCTTGATAACTGTCAAACACTTTACTGACATAATCACCCAGGTAATCGTAACCTTCTTATTATCCAGAAGAAGCATAGGATCCCTTGAGAGAAAGTTAAGAAAAGATCCGTAACTGGTCAACCAGAAAATTCAATCCCAGGTTAGATTTTGCCAATCTCCCAAATATTGCTGATATCATCCGTTCACGCAATGCCTAAGCCCTTTGTTAGGGGTTGACGAAGTTGTTATGGAGGACATGTGCGAGGAAGGAAATCAGCCAGATCGGAGCACAATAGTGCAACAAAAAAAAGAAGGAAAACTTGGCCAAGTTCTCAAATTTGAATCAATGGGAACTGACCGATTGAAATATTCGCAGGCCAGATGTCGTTGTAGCCAGATTCCAACAATCGAATCGAGGTTTCCTCGAGCTTCTCGTCCTGCAATTTTATTACTTGAATGCAAATTCCCAATTGGAAAGGTAACCGAGCTTTCTGTCCAAGATAGGTTAGAGAAATATTCTTCTATCTACAACTCTCATCATATCTACATATGTAGATGGATTTGAGGGTAATGAAGAGGGGTCGTTCCGTGTCGCCACGACTACTTTTTGGTTGATATGATATTAGATTACTTATGTAGTATAAGTAGTATGAATTCCTGTGAAAATCACTCACCGAGGTTCGACATTAGTCATATCGTCAAAGATCGCTTTTCACAGGCGGTATTGATCAACGTCTGATAAGGTGTCGATCAACTCGGCAAATATTGCGGTGATCTAAACTGGGGCGTTCAGTGATTGCTCAGCATTTTACGCTAGAATGGACTATTTCGGATGGCTGACGAACGGAAACACCAGTTCACTCATTCATTGGCTCCGAAAATTGCCTCCAGAGATGAAACCTGTGTTCTGCCTAGCAGTCATCCATGCATAGCAGAGACAAAACCCAAACCACCCTAGATCGGATATTGACTGAGTAGTAACTACCCCATACCGTTCAGTTGAAATTATTGGTAATGGGTGGTCGGTGAATCGAACCATCAAGTTGTTGCATATGAACAGCACAGTCCACCACTGCGCCACAGCTACATT